TCAAGACGCATCTAATGATATGCGATTCATTCCAATTGGCTACCTGAGTGGAGATCATTCTCTTGTTAGAAATAGTGTAAATCGGCTGTAGGGTGAAAATATAGTAATAGTTCAACACAAAGATTTTAAAGTATGAGATATCAGTTCCCGGATTAGGCGAAACATTCTACATGGAGCAGCGCCTGCGCATCACTGGGGACTAGCGAGCGCATAGCGCTGGCATTTTGCCAAGCAAGGACTAAGACGAGTAAAGAGACGCAGACTTGGGTTCTCAGCACGATACGAGGTACTGCAGCTGCGAAACGGCGCGAACAGTTGTGAGACAACATCCGCCACTCCATTTTCCGCCTAGAGCCGATCGAAACTTACGTGTTTCCTTACACACTCCTTTCCTTATGTTTCCCATCCAAAGCTTATGATATGTTTGCAGGGCACGACCATCCGTCCCCTTGTGAACTTTTTGAAAATCGAGACAAAGGATGATCGGCCTCCAACGATGGCAGAGATAATATACAACAAAGTGAGCGTCTCCCTCCTGTGAAACAGAAAAGAAGAGCATTTTTAGTACCTCGACTATGCGATGTCTGGTGTGGAAGACATAGCGGGGCAAAAGGGACACTATACCTTGCGAGACAAGTAGGTCTCAAATTGGCTTTATTCGATCGGATTTGCCTTAATCTGCTCGCGATATTCAGCTTCGAGCAATTCAATGCGAAATTCTTGCAACCAATTCTCGTGAGAAACGAGAAGAGAAGGAATTTCGACGCCTCAAGCATCGTCCGTGCCTACCAGAAAATAACATTGGAGGATGCCATGAACCTCACAAAACTGCAAGAAGCTGCTGAACAAAGGAGAAGAATTTCCCGAATGTAAGTGAGCCTTACTTGGAGACGCATTATAAAGCAGAAAATCCTTTGAGAAAAATCAGAGAAGGGGCGCAACCATATGTAGGGTTTGACATAAGTTGTACTACGGATAGCCAACCATATGATATCAAAGTAATCGAATTGGGTGCGAAAAAAACTTGAAGTTTATTCAGAGAAGCAGATAATTTCCCGGAGAGGTATCCTCAGAGTGAATCTTCACTTTGGGGGTTTCTATGACTCCCACATTTTCTTTCAAGCCTAGTCAAGACGTCATTACCATATATAGTCATGTATTAAACCTATCTAAATAGCAATATCAATCACTTCAGATTTAGCGTCCGTCTAGCTTTGCTAATGACATTTATCAATATCTTTCCCCACATGAGTTTTACTCTATTTTTCCCTTCTCCTGTTTCAGCGATTGCAGCGCTCTTTGTGATTGCTTTGAAACCATATGTTCACTGAAGTAAACCTCATGCATTTGCCATGCTATAATAGAAAGCATCATGTTTCAAGATCAAGCACCATCACACAGAAAATTCTCCACCGAAATCCCGCTGCGAAAGTCCCATCTTACCAAAACCAAGCCTTGTTGGACTTGGCTGTGATGTGCCTTCGATCATATAATCATCCTCTATCCTCTATCATGCGCAATAAAATTTCAAGCATTGAGAAAGTGCAAAAAGGTTGTAAATACGGTGAATTCGTTTACGAAAGTCTTTTCTGTTAGCAGGCACGAATCAGGGCCCTCAGGGCGCCTTTTGGATCGGACAAAAACAATAAATCTGCCCGGATGACACGCCATTGAGACTGCCTCATGATCTCCACCTATAGGGCCGGGACAGTCTCCACGAACGCCGACCTCCACGCTCTTCTCGA